ACCCCAACCCTCGATACCCGCCCACTTCGTCTTCGATTGCACCCCCTTTCGGGGGGAATCTCTTCCTTGTCGGCCACTGACTGAAGTGCGGGGAAATTCTCGAGCGAGAGCGCTGTTCCTGAGTTCGGGGGCCTCTCTGGCCAGGGGCTTTCGGAATACCGATGGAGAAATAACGAACTGGAGCCCTTGTCGCCATGTACGGGCCTCCACCAACTAGATTGAATTACGGGAAAATCTCGAGCGAGAGCGGCGTTCCTGAATTCGGGGGCCTTCTTGGTCAGGGGCTCTCGGAGTAAATCATGAGGAAGTATCGAGCAGGAGCTCTTGTCGTCGTGGCTGGGCCTCCGCCACCTGAATTGACTTGCGAGGAAGTCTCGAGCGAGAGCGCCGTTCCTGAGTTCGGGGGCCTCTCTGGCCAGGGTGTCTCGGGGTAAATTGTGAGGAAGTATCAAGCGGGAGCCGTTGTTATCGTAGCTGGGCCTCCAAAGGCCAACATGTAGGCTCAAGCCAACGCTCGAGCGGGAGCCTCGTGTAGCCGGCGTCGTGGCGAGAGCGCGCGGAACCGTCTCCGGAGATCAACACTAATTATCATTTAGAATTAGTATTCAACAGCAACAACAACAACGACAACGACAACGACAACGACAACGACGACAACAACAACAATCAGTTTAAGATTGTTCACTCTTATCTGCTCGCGCGTACCTCACCACGTACATCCCAAACCCCCGATACCCGACACCTTCGTATTCGATCGTACCCCCTCTGGGGGGTACATCTTCCTGACCTGCCACGTGTATTGGGCGCAGCCCCTGAAAGAGCAAGAGGGGTGATAAAGGAGAGAGAGAGAGAGAGAGAGAGAGAGAGAGAGAGCGACAGAAAGAGAGGGAGAAAGAGAGAGAGAGAGAAAGCGAGGAGGAAAGGAGTGGGGGAAGGGAGAGAGGCAAGGGGCAAGAGGGAGGGAGCAGAACTGCGGACGAGAGAGATTAGAAGGTGGGGGGATTAAGAGAGGATCCGGATAAAAAGGGGCAGACCCGGACGGTTGGGTCGGGCAACGGTCACCAACGGGCGGGTCGGGCGGGCGGGGCCTGCAGACCCGCGGGCGTACCCTAACGGGCGGACCCCAGCGAACGCGCGATTCCTGAATGGCAAGAGCGCGGCGCCTGAGTAAATTGCGAGGAAGTCTCAGGCGGGAGCGCCAGTTTTGAGTAAAATGCGAAGAAGTCTCAAACGGGAGCGGGGGACCAGAGCAAATTTCGAGGAAGTATCAAGCGGGAGCCGTTGTTGTTGTAAACCGGGGGCCAGGGGCACCGTTTGAGGAGGAAGATTTTCCCTGATAAGCAGGGTGCGAGCGCCAGGAGGGGCATTTCAGTTGAAAAAAAGCACTGTGCACTGGACGGGGGGATCAACAATAATTATTTTTCAGTCGTGAGAAAACAACAACAACAACAACAACAACAACAACAACAACAACAACAACAACAACAACAACAATGTTAAGGCTGTTCGTTCCTGTCTGCTCACGTGCTAAGCAATACGTATATCCCAAGCCCTCGGTGCCCGCCCTCGTCGTCTTCGATCGTACCCCCTTGGGGGTATAGCTCCCCTACCTGCCACGTGCATTTAGTGCAGCCCCTAAAACAAGGAAGAAAGGGCGGTTGGACGGCGGAGGGAGAATAATGGAGCACGAGAAAAATTAGCAGGAGGGGGCAAAGAGCAGAAAACAAGTGGTAGAACCAGACGGGCAGATCGGGTGGGCAGACCCATAGCGGGCAGGTCGGGAAGGCGGGCCCAGGCGACGAGGTCGAGCAGGCGGGTTGCTGAAGCGTGGGTCCTGCATGATTCGCGAGGAAGTTTCGAGCGATAGCGCGATTCCTAGGTAAATCGTGAGAGAAGTCAGCGTGGGCCACGAAGGGCAAAAATCCGAGGCTACAGATGGCAGCGACGGGGCCGCTGAGGGCAGCACCGCGGCCATGAAGGGCAGCGAGGGGGCCACAAAGGGCGACAGCGGGGCCATGAAGGGCATGCAGATGGGGCCACGACGGGCGCGAGCGAGCGGGGGCCACGAAGGGCATTCGTATACGGGGCCACCAAGGGCGACAGCGGGGCCACTAAGGGCAGCAATGGGGCCACGAAGGGCAGCGAGGGGGCCACGAAGGGCGACAGCGGGGCTACGAAGGGCATGCGTATGGGGCCACGACGGGCGCGTGCGAGCGGGGGCCACGAAGGGCATATAATGCGGGGCCACAAATGGCAGCGACGTAGCCACTGAGGGCAGCAATGGGGCCACGAATCGCAGCGAGCGAAGGCGACCGCGGAACCAGTACGGGCAGCGAGGGGCATCGAAGGCGGGCGAAGGACAGCGAGCGGCGACTGCACTCATTAACGGGCTTGTCGGGCTGGTCGAGCGGGCGGGTTGAAGCGTGAGTCTTGCTTGAATCGCCAGGCAATATGTAGCGGGAGCGCGATTCCTGAGTGTCGAGGACCGGCATCTTCATACATTGTGAGGAAATATCCAGCGACGTGGTTCGGTGATAAGTTGCGAGGAAGTCCCAAGCGAGAACGCGATCCCACAATCAGTTATCAAGAAATATCAAGCGGGAGCCGCGATTCGGTGGTATATTGCCAGGAAGTCCCAAGCGAGAGCGCGATTCTTCAATACATTGTGAGGAAGTATCAGGCGGAAGCCGCTGTTGTTGCAAACTGGGGGGCCAACGACACAGTTTGAGCTTCAAGATTTTCCCTGATAAAAACAGGGTGCGAGCCCCGGGAGGGGCCCTTCAATTGAAAAATACCATGTGCACCGGGCGGGGGGGATGAACAATAATTATATTCTTCCTTTTCTTTGGGCCGCCATGTGGGGCACCCCCCTGGACCTCCCCGCGGCATCGGAGGCGGTACTCGCAAAGGCCCCGAGGGTGACTCGAGGAGCTCGTGGGGTCGCTCCCTTGGCGACGAGAACTGTGGAGGCGCAAGGGGGACGACCTTCTAGGAGGGCAGGGGGCTTCTTAGAAGGGCCCGCAGGCTTCGACGAGTGCTTTGTTAAACGCTCGGAGGGCTCTAAGAAGCTTTTTGCTTTCAAAAGTAGCACCCCTTTCTTTTTCGAAGGCCGCCCACGGCGCGCCACCCCGCTTTTGTCTGGACCCAAAGGCACGTGGAGTGCCAGCTTGAGCGCGTGAGGAAGAGGATGGAGAAGGAGGACGACGACGAGTGAGAACCTACGGAGGAGGGAGGGGGGAGGAAGGGGGAGGAGGGCCCGAGAAATCCGCGCGGACCTTCCAAAGTTATTGTTCATGGCGTTATCCTCATATGTGCCTCCCTGGCGTGCAGCCCTCCTCCTCACTCCTCCCCCTTCCTTCTCATCCCTTTTTCCCCTCCCACCTCCCTCCTCTGTGCCCCCTCCAACCTTATTTCATATGAGTACTACTCTGTTATCTCCCCGCCCCAGCCCCGCGGTTCACAATTCCGAGTTTTTCCTCGTCGTTGTCGTTTTGTTCCTTTCATCCGTTCCCCTCCTCCGCTTTCCCTTGGTCCTCCTGCTCCTGCCGATCCTCCTGCTACTGCTCTTGCTGCTGCTGTTCCTCCTCGTCTTCCTTCTTCCTTAATCCTCATCGTATTATTCCTCCTGCCCTTTTCTTGTTCATCCGCCACTGCCTCTTGCCCCGCCAATGCACACACACAATCTGTTTTTATGAATTGCGCATAACACGATGTGATCCTTCTGGGGATTCCACCTCCGCTATACGACCCGTCGGCGGACAGAAAGAAGATCACCGCAATGGGAATGTTTGGGTGGGAGGAGTAGGATGCCTGACGTAGCGCGAGCGCACCTGCCTTGCCGAGATTCTCGAACCTTTAACGTTGAACCTCGAACGTTGAACCTCGACCCTCGACTTTCGAATCTTGACCCTCCAACCTCGAATCTCGATCCTCGCACCTTGGACCTCGACCGTCGATCCTTGCACCCTCGAGCCTTTCGGCGGTGCGCGCGCTCTGCTCAAGGGGCGCGTGAGCACGTGGAGCGTCGACCTGATCAAGCCCGTGGCCCCCCGAGGGCGTTGGCCCCCTCTCCTCTCCTGAGTTGTCGCAGAGCTACATCCCCAGGCCGAAAGTTCTTCACTCTTGGACTAAGAATATGAGAACACCGATGGATCCAATTGGATCCTTCTCGGGTGTGCGACAGTGTCGTGGATCCTATTTCTGTCTTGCGCGGATCCAATTTCCCATGTGGGAAAACCAAGGGATCCATTTGTTACCCGAGATTGGATATACAACAATCAAGATCCCGGACCCAGGGGAAATGGGATCCGCGGGGCACCGCACGTGAAGCATCATGCTATCCACGGACCTATGGATCTGCGACCCAAAGCTTTGATTCTACGGGGGAAAGGGGGTCTTCCTAGGACGGAGAGGGGAAGGAGGAGGGAGGAGGCACGAAGCCGAAGAGAGCGCTACATGTATCCGCTCACCTGAACGGCACGTCGCCTCCGACATGTGGGGCTCAAGAGGAACATCTTTCGGCTTGGGCAAGTATTGCTAACGAAAATACGCAGGAGGAGAAACGAAGCTACGCAGGAAGAGGAGGAGGAGGAGGAAGAGGGAGGAGGAGGAGGAGCAGGAGGAGGAGGCTGGAGAATTGTGGAGTCCCTCTGGACCCCCTTTGTGTCCCAAAGGCATGTGTCACCCTTGTCTCTCTTCTGAACCATTACCCTTCTCTCTCTCTCTCTCTCTCTCTCTCTCTCTTCTTCCTCTCCAGAGCTATCTCAGAGCTATGGCATAGCGTCCGGCAGGAAACGGAAGAGCGGAAGACGAACACGAGCATTATCGAAAGAAGCGAGTCTCGGTGCTCGGGCGCCCCCGCTGCGCTCCTATAAAGGGCCGCGCCCAGGCGCGAACTGCGGCGCCCCGCCTCGTTTCGCCCGCTCCTCCCCTCCCCTGGTCCAGGGTCGCTCCTGCTTGCAGCCCCCCACCCTCCCTTTTTCGCCCCCCCCCCTGCGGAG